AGGGAGAGAGGGGGGAGAGGGGAGGGGAGGGAGAGGGGGAGAGAGAGTGGGGGGAGAGGGAGGGGGAGAGGCGGAGAGAGGGAGGGAGGGGGAGAGGCGGAGGGAGGGAGAGGGAGAGGGAGGGAGGGAGAGAGATTGAGGGAGAGAGGGAGAGGGAAGGGGAGAGGCGGAGAGGGAGAGAGAGGGAGCGGGGAGAGGGAGAGAGGGAGATGGAGAAAGAAAGAAAGGAAGGAAGGAAGAAAGGATTTATCGGTCAGTGTTTCAAGGCACTCACTGTGGTGTTTTAGGGGCTCTTTCTCTCAGCTCCCCCTGGCTGCTGGCTCCCCTGAGCTCGGCAGGCCCTGACTCCGGTGCTTTCTCTAAGAGAACAGGTCAAAAGGGAGACTTTAAACTTGTTAGAAAGAAATGGCTGTGGCCCAGAGCTGTCCCCAGCCTGGCCGGTGCTGACCCGCTTGTTCCCGGGGACCCCACCCCGGGTGAGGAAAGGCATGGCGGCGGCTGGACCGTGGCCGGCAGCTCAGGGATACGGAGCAGTTAGAATCCTGCTGCTTCTCTTGGGAGCCACTCGCAGCCCTCTCTTTAACAGCGCCCCCCCCCCCCCCCCCCCCCCCCCCCCCCCCCCCCCCCCGCAAGGGACTTCCTTCTGAGGGGCAGCTGGGGAAATGGCCAAGCAAGTGGGTTTTGAATGAATGACCGTTGTGACTAGGGGCTCCCCACCTGCCTCGTGTCCTCCCAATTAGAGCGAAGATCAGCTGTGAAATCAGGTTTGAGAGCGTTTTCGTTGTCCAAGTGGCCGGGCCAGGCTTGGCCTCTGTGGTGGAGTGCCAGGCCTGGGGGTGGATGCCCCGTTGTTCAAGCCGGACCCCTGCGCCGAACGTCCCTCTGAAGTGTTGTTCCCGGCCTCCATGCCATCAGGGAAAGGTCACTCAGGTCTGTTCCTGTGACGGCTGCTTTCATGCCCCACACCATTGTCTCCCCTTGTGTGTCTGTAGAGCTCCTTCGCCCCCCGTGTCACCTTTTGGTCGGGGTTGGGAGCGTGGTGCTGAGGTCCATGCCGGCTCCAAGATGCGAGGCTGGGGCTCTGGGAGGGTGGTGGTGACAGGAACCAGGTTTTCAATCAACTAGGTTGGATTCCTTAAAGGTTAGTCTCTTGTTGGGTAGTTGGACCTTTCTCCAGTCTGTTCTGTTGTTGCTTAAAAAAAAAATTGCAGGTGATTTTTATTCTTTAAACACTATTTTCTTATTAATCTTAAGTAGGGGATATGTTACATCATTTAAAAAGTATTCCAAGAAAGAAAAAAAAGAGTAAAGCCATATTTGTAGGTCCTACAGTGCTATTAACTAGTTATTCTTAGACTTCCTTACAGAGCCTGGGCTTTTCTGATGATTCGTAGGCCTAGGAAGTGACATCTGAGTCACCTGATTGAAACCTCTCCTTCCGGAAGCTGTCCAGGAGGTTTTCCTCCTCCACATTGATGCTCAGAGCTCAGAGAGGTTCAGTGATTTCTTTAAGGTCACACACCTAGTAAGAAGCGGAGGACTTCCCTGGTGGCTCAGTGGTTAAGAATCTGCCTGCCCATGCAGGGGACATGGGTTCGAGCCCTGGTTCAGGAAGATCCCACATGCTGCGGAGCAACTAAGCCCGTGGGCCACAACTACTGAGCCTGTGCTCTAGAGCCCACGAGCCACAACTACTGAGCTCATGTGCCACAACTACTGAAACCCGTGCGCCTAGAGCCCGTGCTCCACAACAAGAGAAGCCACCACAATGAGAAGCCTGCGCACTGCAAGGAAGAGTAGGCCCCGCTCGCCACGACTAGAGAAAGCCCGTGTGCAGCAACAAAGACCCAACACAGCCAAAAATAAATAAATAAAGATATATATTTTAAAAAAAGTGGAGCCAAGAATCAGACTGAGAATTTCTGACTTTAAGACGTCACCATGGTCCCCCTCCGTCACCATGGTCCCCCTCCTCTTTGAGGGCCTGAGCTGGGTTCCCCTGGAGTCCCCGCGGTGGAGGGAGGGCGAGGTGGAGGTGGGGACCCTCTGCCCGATGGCAGCCCTGCGGGCCTGGGAACAGGACACTGGGGAGAGCTTTCGAGCGGTGCCACCCCCACCCCCACCCAGGCCCTAACTTTCCATCGCACATGACTGCCATTCTCAGGGCCCGGAGCTGTCCTGGGGGCCGGTGCTTTGCACCATCTCTCTAATCCTCAGAACAGCCTGTGAAGGTTGGGCTGTCCTCCAGCCTGCCCCCGTGCACACTGACCTCAGGATTTGAAGCCGCTGGCCCAGTCTCTCAGCCGCGCAGTGGGTGGGCTGCGACGTGACCTCGGTGCTCTGAGCGCAGACTACGCTTCCCCCTCGCCGTGCGCCTCTCTGGTGGGGCTTGGGTTGGAGCACAAGCTGGGAACCCTCTGCTTCCTGGGCCTCTTTCTTACCTGGCTGCTTCAGGAGCCACAGGCCCCGGCAGTTCTGACGCCCCAGGGGAGGGCACGCCGCAGGGGCTGGGCCTCCTCGCAGGCTGAGCCGGCTCCCCTCCCTGGTGTGGCCTGGCTTCTGGGCGCGGGTCAGGGCATCCCGGGTACAGCCGAGTGGGGACACGGCAAGTCTGGTGGCCGGATCACAGCTGGTCCAGCGCTCCTCTCTGCCTTCCTCTGCCCTTCACCTGGTGGGTGTGTGTCTTGGGAACTTGTCCTCGTGCAGAGAGCTGTTCCTACACTGATTCTGCTCAAACTTTTCAGAGTCACTCAGGCCAAATATGGTTCGTTTTCTGGAACTGTTTGCCTTTGCAACAATTTGAGTATAAATTGGTTTAGAATAGAAACTCCTTTTAACCCTGATGAGGCCACAAATAAAACGTGGCTGAGGGCAGCCTTCTCTTGGACTCAGTTCAGAGGCTGACAGTGAGAGGCAGTTGGCCGGGGGGAGCTGGGGCCCCGGGAGCCACCTGCTGCTCCCCAGAGAGGCTCCTGGGGCCAGCGGCAGCCGTGACCATCGTCCCGGCAAGTCAGCCAAGGTGAGGTGGCTCCCTCTGCTTTGGGTTCTGACGGTCACAGCCCTTGGGGAACAAGGACGGAGGTGCCCCAGTGTGACAGCTCGGCCGCAGGTCAGCGCGGAGAGCGGCCCTTTCCTGGGGAAGGTCAATAAAGGTGCTCTCGTGGCCCGGGGAGGTTGCTAGGAGCTCACCTGGCCTGGTCACCCCAGGCAGCATGTTTTCTTCTGCTTCTGTGGCCAGCCTGGAACGCTTTCTGCAGCTCTGGGCCTTTGCGATGAGCTGAGGGCACCGCCGCATGTTTGTTCAGTGATTTCTGTAACAGGTTTTGCTGAAGGCGTTTGTTTAGGGACGGGTGAGTAGCACGACTTGGTTGCTAGCATCCGTTTGCCTTGTGGCCGGGAGACCCTAATGGACTTGTCTCTGAACGGTTGATGTTGCTGCCTCTGGGCTTTTAGGGCAGGCCATCTGGACGAGGCCTTTCCCTCTGAAGCTCAGTAAACTCCGCAGGCTGTTACAGATCCCTCTGCAGCTGTCACGCTGCCCCGCTGAGCGCTGCCCCGGGGGAGGGACGGCAGGATTCGGATCCGGTCAGAAGAGCAGCATCGGCGTCCTGGCAGGGCTGAGGGGGAGGTGGTGCAGGTGCTCTGTCTTAGAAATTGCCCCCGAAGAAGACACTACACTTGCACTGGCTTTCTGCGTCTAGAAGCTCTGGAAAGACAAAAAACCAGTTAAAAGTAGTTTCCAGCTCAGAGGGAAGGTGGGGAGCAGGGCACGTGATGACAGGGTGGTGTCCAAGGGTATTTAATACCTTTTCTTCTTTTCTACTGAATGTCATTTTATATCGTAGCCACATGGCTATCACCTATTCAAAGTAATAATAATAATAACATTTATAATAATAATACAACAAGAGGAGAAAGCAAAGTGCCCCTCTCCTGGAGAACTGGGTGGCTGTGTGCACCTGGAGATCCCTCCTGTGTTGTGGGCACCATGGAGTTTGGAGGGAGGGGGTCCATCTCCACGGCCCAGCTGTGGGGCAGTGAGTCCCCGTCAAGGCCAGCAGGCTGGAGCCTCCACACACACGAGGCTGCCTGCACTTCACCTGGAGGTTTGGGCCTGCCTGTGATGAAGTGATGTCAGTGTGGGTGACAGTGTCGGCAGGGCTGCCAGCCAGGCCTCTGGCACCTTCTGAGACGAAGTAAATACCCCTCCTCCGGGGTGCGCAGGACCTGGGAGCAGCCTGCTTGGGTCTGGAGCTGACGTGTAGAGCGGGTGAAGGCACTGGGCTGGGAGGCTTCCTTCCCACAGTGGACCCTGAGGGCAGGGCAGGGCAGGGCAGGAGGGTTTCTGGAGCTGCTCCAGGGAGCTGTCTGGTGACCCCTGGGAAGGGTCTCTGAACAGCTGGGTTGAGCGCAGGTTTGGCCTCTGGGGAGTCACACTCACGGGGAACGGCCTCTGTGGGGTGTGCACGTCCCAGGACGGTGCAGGCAGGGTCCGTGCGCGTGTCCAGAGCGGCCTCTCGGGGGGTGCTGCCCGGGTCTGGGTGGGGAGTCAGGACGGCCCTTCCCACGGTGGGTGCATCACCCTTCCCAGCAGACCTGCCGGGTGGGTGTAAGCACCCCATTTCCAGGTGAGGGAGCCGAGGCTCAGAGCAGTTAGGTCACCTACCCAGAGCAGAGCCGGGGTCAGGCCCTTGATCGGCCACCGCCAGGCCATCTCTCCTCACGGTGTGCTGGTTCTTGTTTGTTCAGGTGACGATGCCTGGGGAGCCTGTGGATGTGGCGTGCGGTGTGGACCACATGGTGACCCTGGCCAGGTCCTTCATCTGAACGTCCTCCCCGGCCCGCTCGAGCCAGGCCTCGGCCTCAGGACCGCTTGGACTGCACAGCAGAGGCAGCCGCTGGGGCTCTGGTTGGGGCCCGAGAGGGTCGGGGCCCTCCGTGTGGTGTGCCGCACTCCCCGGCAGCCCGGAGCGGTGTGACCGGAGGTTCCGGGACGGGGTCCCCCCTCCTGCCGAGGGTGAGACGTGCTGCACTCAGCACAGATGCCGCCGTTATCGGCCAAGCCCCAGGGGTGTGTGGCCCTGGCAGGGCGAGGATGATCTGCTCATCTTGGCTCCTTCTGGGGAACACACGATGGCTTCTGGTGTCACGTCTGGTCTTTGGAAAGCTTAGCCCGCTCAGCCGTCTCTGCTTGCTGCTGGGACACCAGCCGAAACCCCTTGCACTGGAGGTCTCCCTGGAAATGCCAGTGGGCGCCAGCCCAGGACCCTGTGGGCCCATGGCTCTCAGCAGCCTTGTAACCATCCTTACTGCCTGGCTTAGAAGACTTGAGAAGCCCCCACGGGAGGAAGAGCGAGGCCAAATTCTTGTGGGCCAAGGGCTCTGAACACATCCTGCAAAAGCTTGGCTGGAGTACTAGTCTTGGAGAAGGAAAATTCAGAAACAGTGACAAACATTTGCATTAGTAGTGTAACTTGTCTTTTTCTTTAAAAACTTCTTTTAAAAATCTCTCTTGGAATAAAGTCTATTTTCTGCTTTTTCGTTTTTAAGAACTGGAGAGGCCTTTTTATTTTAACCTGATCATTTAGAGATTAGCTTTCAAAAACAAGGCTTTTGGTAAAGAGGCAACTAGAAACCAGTGAATACTCTAGAAGACAGCCCCACTTGAAAACTGTTTGTTTTCTGACCAGAGTCTGCTCCCACAGTGCAGTTGGGAGAAAATGATGAAGTATAAAACCAACTGGGCAATCATGTCACAAAGCAGGCTCTCACTCACGGTTTGCCTACATCCCCCATCTTTTATTCATTCACTCAACAAACACTGTTGTACCCCATACTTGTCAGGTACTGTTGATCCCACTGGGTCACGTGGTGGCAAACAGAATCCCTGTAAGCAGGTCTCATGACACATTCGAGGAGGCAAAACAGACAAGCAAAATGCAAAGTGCATTAGGTGGTTGCGTGGGCTGTGGAGGAAAAGCCGGAGAGGGACAGGTGGTGCCGGGCGCGGCGGTTTAAAGCGGAGCCGTCACTGACCCGACATCCTCGCTGCGACCTGAGGCAGCTCGAACCGGCCAGGCGGTGTCTGGGGCAGCGGCCCTGGGACCCCTCACCTGGGCTCCTATCACCTCCACTTCTCTGTAGGGGGACCAGTTCTTATGTTTATTACAGCAAAGTTTTTCCATAAACTTGAAACAGAAATTGAAAACCATCTGTCATTTTCCTTCCTGGAGCTTCTAGTTGGGCCGAGGACCACGTCACCCCAGTGGTGAACGGCAGTAATCCATCCTCAGGGAGATACACGCCTTGAAGCACATGCTGATTTGAGGAGGGTGATGTCCCCGAAGGGCAGGCCGGGGCCCCCTAGTGATGTTCAGGGACCGTGGGGGATGGTGGTGATGGAGGGTCTCTGTCGAAGGTGGGAATGGTTTTTAGCCTCCCCTCGTCCCCTCAAGTGGCAACCATGACTCAGGTCCAGTAACTCCTTCCACCTTGGACACAGCACCCAGGGTATATTAAGGGATGTCTTTGGATTTGTCTTAAAACCCAGTGTCGGGACTTTCCTGGCGGTCCAGTGGTTGAGACTTCGCCTTCCAATGCAGGGGGTGCGGGTTAGATCCCTGGTCGGGGAGCTAAGATCCCACATGCCTCATGGCCAAAAAACCAAAACATAAAACATGCAGCATTGTAACAAAGTCAATGAGGACTTTAAAAATGGTCCACATAAAAAAAAAAAAAAAAAATCTAAAAAACCCCCCAAAATCCAGTGTCTCCCAGTGGGGTCTGTGCCCTTTGTGGCGACAGGGGTTCCCAGCTGGAGCGCATCTGCCAGGCCCTTCCCATGGCTGTCCTCTGTGCTCCTGTCCCTTCTCAGCTCTGGTCCTGTTGTCCCCAGCCTCTCCCAGCATTTAACAGAGGCCTGCTACACCATTGGCTCAGCTGCTGTGATTTCTCATCTTGTTCCCGTGAAGGCTCAGTGTTTCAGGCTCCGGGCTCCTCTCACGTTACCGAGTGCATGGATGACACCCTGGGTGAAGCGACCATGGGCCACCTCCGACGTGATCTCTCTTCTCACACTCAGACTCCGTCCATTCACAGATGTTGGGGCCAGTGCAGAGCCCTGAGAAGGCGTAGGGACTCCACCGCCGTTTGGGTGAGTGGACAGCCCCTTCCAAGGCACTTGGGTCTCCGCCTTCCGTCCCCTGAGCCTCCGGCAGACGTGCAGGCTGCCACTTCATAACGGTTCTGGCTCTCACTGTGCGCAACACCTTAAATCAGCTAATAGAAGACGCGGCTCACCACTCTCGTCAGGTCAGTCCTGACACACTCAGAATCCTATCATGACCACGCTTGTCCCCTGAATAGATGGTCGCCCATAATAAGTGCCCAAACACTCATGCACTTGCTGTGTTCTGTGCGACAGTCGGATGCTGAGAACATCGAAACGGTGCTGACTTGGCCCAGCAGGTGACGGCCTGGCCACGCGCCCAGCCAACCAGGCCCAGGGCGAAAGCTTGGGCTGCGTCCGTGAAGATCGACACTGTTCTCCTGTGTGACGCCCGGTCCCAGCACCTCCCGACCGGCAACAAGACTGACTCAAACTGTCTCGTGGGCTATTCTTTTTTATCAGAACTGATGAGCTGCCTCGTGTGGTGTGACGTACAGACAGACCTTGGGGCAGCACCCAGCACAGGCCCGGCCCTGTGAGACAGCCATCGTCCCAGCGCCCGCCCAGCCCAGGACTGACCCCCAAGAACTTATCCCCTCCCCCAAAAGCCCCATACCTGACTTTCTGTCTCCCAGGATGCATTACCAGCCACCCCCAGAGACTCAGATTGCATTGATCAAGAAATCCCGGCCTTTCTTCCACACGAACCTTGCTATTTAACCTGGAGCAACAGCCGGATAGATTAAGCTTGAGCTGAGACAATGCTTGGAGTCCTTCTAAGATGTCTTTTCTCAGATTTGGGGCCACACTGAGGTGTGTGCTCAGCAGTCACATTTACAAGGATAAATCCAGATACCGTGCTCACCTCCTCAAACCAGGAGTCCACTGTCTTGCCAAGGAGGCAAACAGGTGAGATGTAGCTGGTGGGGGCGGGGCTGGCCCACGGGGCTGGAGGGTAGAGTAGCTTAGTCTTGCCATCGCTCTGGTAGCCTGGTGGCAGCACAAGTGCCAGGAGACCAGAGAGTAGAGGACATGAAGCCATGCCCGTCAGAAAATGCCCTGTTTGACAAACGAGACCTCGTCAGACTTAAAAGCTTTTGCACAGCAAAGGAAACCATCCGCAAAACAAAAAGACAGCCTACGGAATGGGAGAAGATATTTGCAAACGATGGGACTGACGGGGTTAATAGCTAAAATATACAGACAGCTCATACAACTCAATAATAATAAAAAAACAACCACCACCCAATCAAAAAATGAGCAGAAGACCTAGATAGATGTTTCTCCAAAGAAGACATACAGATGGCCATCAGGCAATGAACAGCTGCTTAACATCGCCAATTATTAAAGAAATGCAAATCAAAACCACAATAAGGTATCATCTCACCCCGGTCAAAATGGCCAGCATCAAAATCTCTACAAATAATTAACGCTGGAGAGGATGTGGAAGAAAGGAAATCCTCGTATACTGTTGGTAGGAATGTAAATTGGTGCAGCCACTATGGGGAACAGTATGGAGGTTCCTTAAAAAACTAAAAGTAGGGGCTTCCCTGGTGGCGCAGTGGTTAGGAATCCGCCTGCCATTGCAGGGGACACGGGTTTGAGTCCTGGTCCAGGTAGATCCCACATGCTGTGGAGCAACTGAGCCTGTGCACCACAACTATTGAGCCTGTGCTTTAGAGCTCGCGAGCCACAACTACTGAAGCTCGTGTGCCTAGAAGCCCATGCTCTGCAACAAGAGAAGCCACCACAATGAGAAGCCTGTGCACCACAACGAAAAGTAGCCCCAGCTTGCCGCAATTAGAGAAAGACCGCGCACAGCAATGAAGACGCAATGCAGCCCCTGCCCCCCAAAAAACCAAACAAAAACAAAAAAAAGTAAAAGCAGAACTACCACATGATCCAGCAATTCCACTCCACTCCTGGGAAAATGTCCAGAAAAAACAAAAACGCTAATTTGAAAAAAGATATATGCACCGTGGTGTTCATAGCAGCACTATTTACAATAGCCCAGACATGAAAACGACCCAAGTGTCTGTCAACAGATGATTGGTTTAAGAAGATGTGGTGTGTGTACACACACACACACACACACACACACACACAGTGGAATATTACTCAGCCATAAAAAAGAATGAAATATTGCAGCAACATGGATGGACTTGGAGGGTATTATGCTAAGGGAAATAAGTCAGAGAATGACAAAAGCAGTATGATATCACTTATATGTGGAATCTAAAAAATAATACAAGTGAAGCTATATACAAAACAGAAACAGACTCAGACATAGAGAACAAACTCATGGTTACCAAAGGGGAAAGCGGGGAAGGGAGGGATAAATTAGGATGGGATTAACAGATACACCCTACTACACATAAAATAGATAAGCAACAAGGATTTACTGTATAACACAGGGAACTATATTCAATATCTTAAAATAACCTATAATGGAAAATAATCTGAAAAAACATATACAAGTTAATCACTTCCCTGTACACCTGAAACGAGCACAATATTGTAAATCAACTATACTTCAATTAGGAAAAAAGAAAAAAGAAAATGCCCCATTTGAGTCTACCCTTGGAGACAAAAACTGACCGTAAGCTGTCCCATAGCTGCAGTTGACCTTCATTCCAGTGGGGGAACGTTGAAGAAGCAGAGGCTGATGGGGTACGTTCTCCGGAGCACCCTCCATATGCCAGGACCTGCCAGTGTTTGGGGTGCGGCCATAAGGATGCATCATCCTTGCAGGTGCACTGGGGCTGACTGCCCCTGATCACTCTGGCCTCAGAATGGAGGAAAGCAGGATGAGGCCACTGCCCCACAGAGCAGCCGAAGGAGGCGGTGTTCTCCATGGGGACTCTGGGATTCCTTTAGGCAGCTTCTGCCCCTTAACCCTGGCCCTCTCAACCTCGCCTGTGTAACAGAATCATCTGGGGATGTTTCTGTTTTGTTCCTGATAAACATTTTGTTTATTCATTCATCAGTTGATGGATATTTGCGTTGGCTCCACTTTTGGGCTATTGTGGCTAATGCCAAAATGTTCATGTACACATGTTACATTAGCCCAGAGTTTGATTTTTTGGGAACATTCCCATACAAATTTTTGGGTGAGTATGTTTTCAGTTTTCTTGGGTAGAGACCTCGGATTGGGATTGCTGGGTCCTTCATTTAAATTTTTAAGTTTTGACACCTGTATTGTGGAATCCACAACACACTGTAACACTGAGTTCCTAGACACTGATTATCTACTTCCCGGAATACAACTTGAGCTGCTGCCTACAGGCCTGTTAGGGCGTCTCTGCTCACTTCCCCTCAGCTCTCTCTACTCAGGACCCTCTCAGTGCCCGGTGCTCATTAGTGTGGGGAGATGGGCTGCGGTCCAGCTGATGGCTGCCAGAGCTTCCCGCTGGTCCAGCTGAGGTGGACAGCTCCTGGGAAACATCTCCAACGAGAGGCTCCAAGACCAGCTTTTGCAAGGGAAAGACCTCTGTGGTCTTTCTACCCCTTTATGCTGCCCTCCACTGTGTTTACAGGAACTTTCTTTAACCATCAGGGGATGTTAGACTAACTCACATTTTCTTGGCCGTCCTTCCTGCTGTGCATTCACACCTCTTGCCTTCTCTACCACATTCATTTTTTTAAAAAAAATTGAGATGTGAGTCACATACCGTAAAACCATTTTAAAGTGTGCAATTCAGTGCTTTTAGCCTATTATCTGTGTGGTGCAACCGTCACCACGATCTCATTCCACACTCCCTTTGGAGAGCTAGTGTTCACCATCGTGAGCCCCTGCTTCCCCACCAGCTGAATAAAAACCAAGGGGAGGCAAAGTGACTACAGAGTGTGCTCTTTCCTTCTGTGGCCCTGCATTCCTTGTATTACTCTTTAAAAAACTTTTATTATTTTTTGCCACACCACACAGCATGTGGAATCTTAGTTCCCTGACCAGGTATCGAACCCTCACCCCCTGCATCCCTGAATTGGAAGCATGGGGTCTTTAACCACTGGACTGCCAGGGAAGTCCCCTTTTTATTACTTTTTAAGAGCGGGTTGGGGAGCTTTAAAAACTATACTGAAGCCAAGATGAGTTGAATCAGACTCTTTGGGGTAGAGTCCTGGCACAGGTAACTCTCCCCACTCTCCAGGGGAGTCCAATGTGCTGGGGTAAGAACCCTGCCAAGATGCAGCCAAAGCTGCTCCCACGAGGAATTATGCCCTGGCTGGGGGAAGGGCACATGCATGGTTCGGAAGGTGGGATGCCAGCCAGTCCTCTACATCTGTGATGCCACCCGCCATTCCTGACTGCACTGCGAAGGCCCTTGAGTTGGCCAGGGCCATCTCTCCTGAGAAATGAGGCCAGGATCCTGGCTGCCCCCTTTCCTCCTTCTATCAGGCATGTTCAATAACCCAGACTCACCATTCAGATGCTACGTTTGGTCTCCTGCATGAAGTCCTCCGTCGCTCCCCATGGTCTGTAGCAGACTGTGAGGCCCCCAGCTGGCCTGAGAACCCACCTTGCATTTCAGCCTCATTTCTACCAGCCCCGTCCATTTCCTCCCTCTCCCACTTTGCTTCTCCATTCCAGCTACGCTCCCCTCTAGGCCCTCTGCGCCTTTGCTGTTCCCTCTGTTTGGGTCCCCCTGCTAAGCTTACCAAGCTCAACCCTAACGTCCTGGCTTCTTGTTCCTCCTACTGCCGGACAGTGGTCATGGCCCCAGGGCACAGCATCCCCTTGTGGTGGAGCCTGGCACTGCAATCCCTGGGAGAGCCTGTTTTCACATCTTTACACCTCCTGGAGCAACTCAGGCGCAGGGGCCACAGCAGCGTCATCTGGGTCTCCAGTCCCGGGCACAAGGTCTGGCACCATCCTAGAGACAGTGAACATGAGTGAGTGGTGGGAAAAGGAGGGCTTTGCTACTGTTTTGGGCAATCAAGAGTGCCCACCCATGTTGTGGCTCCAGTGCGATATGTGAAGGGTTGCAAACCCCAGAAAGGCAAGCCTTCACAGCAGCCAGAATTTCCTGGACTCGGGGTGGTGAGTGAGTGCTTTAGCTCCCATCTTCCCTCCCTTCCATCTCCAGGGCTGCTGCTTCTGTGAGGCAGGGGTGAGGGGATGGTGGGGCCCAATGTAGGCAGAACCCTGCCCTGCTCACACCTGCCCTCCATGGAAAACATCAAAGAGGGGCAGGGTGAAGGGCATCCAAGGTCCAGGACCTGCTGGTCTCAGGCCTCTTTCTTGCCTGGGCATTTCCAGCATCCACCTGCCAAGGGGGCAGGAGCTCAACCCCAGAGCGCCTGTGGGAGGGACGCCAAGCACCGTGCCCTCCCCTCCTGCCCCCAGGGTGTCTTATCTGGAGGCATCAGCTCCTGGGCTTCCAGCACCAAGAAACCTTTCCTGGGGGTGTGACATTCACAGCAGGGTTCCAGCCCCTGATCCTTCCCCTGCCACCACCAAGGTCCTATCCTGCTCCAGGGGACCCCGGTCCCCCAGGCCCACCTCTGCCACAGATTTGGGGAGGAATGGTGAGTGTAGAAGCCAGTTTCCAAAGTGGCCCCCAAGGTTACCTTGACCTTTTGGTTTTCACACCCCTGTGTGGTCTCCTCCACGGTCAAATCAGAGCTGGGCTGCATGACGATAGAACATGATGGAGATGACGGAACGTGAATTCTGAAGCTAGAAGAAAAACTTTTTTTTTTTTTTAGGTCCTACCTCGGTCCTTGAATCCCTTGCTCTAGGGGAAGCCAGGCGCCATATGACGAGGACACTCAAGCAGCAGAGACCCACGTGGAGAGGAACAGGCTTCCTGCTGACAGCCAGGCCCACCTCGCCAGTCATGTGGATTAAGCACCTTGGAAATAGACCCTCTAGCCCCAGCCGAGCTTCAGATGCCTGCAGCCTCTTGAGAGACTCTGAGCCCAAGCTGCTCACACGGCTCCCAAATTCCTAACCCACCAAAACCAGGACACACAAATAATCATTTTAAGCCTTACATTTTGGGGCCACTTGTTATGCAGCACTGGGTAACTAATACAGCCCCTCGCGTTCTCAGGGCTATTTATTTCCTCTCTCGGATTCTTGCTTTGGCTCCTCCCAGCTCCTGGCCTAATGTTCCCCCACCCACGGTATGAGAAGGGAGAGAGATGAGACATAGCCCTGGATCAGCACAAAATCAGACAGCCGTCAGCCAACATCATTTTTTTCTTCCATTTTAATGAACACTTTACAAAGTACAAAATATACTGTCTTTTTTGGGGGGAACATTAGGTACTTTTTTTCTCTCTGTCATACAGTACATGAATCTCAAGGGTTTTGTGTTTTTTCAAGAAAGAAAGAAAGTGTGAGGGCCTGGGGTACGGGGCTGCCCTGTTCTCCCCTCGCCCAGACCTTGGGACAGATGCATGTGCCGCTGCTACTGCTGGTGACCCGGGGCGTATGCCAGGGGAGGGCCAGACCCCCAAGGCGAAACCCTGGGCAGGGCAGAGGCCCCTCTGAGCCCTGCTGTGCAGCCAGCATCCACTCACCCCCATCTCAGGATAACGGAAATGATTTGGCAAAGAGCAAGTGGAGGGCTCGGGGTTTTGTTTGCTGTTACACCTCCCCACCCCCAGTTTTGGAGCCAACCCTGCCCAGCTCTTCCTGGACCATTTTCTGAACAGGTAAACTGAAGCAGTGGACAGGAAAATGCACTGGGCTTGGCCTCTGCCTTGGGACCTGAATTTGGCCTGTTTTTCACCCACCCCACCGGCCCTCCATTCCGGTTTCCAACTTTGTTGGATGCTCTGCATGGACGAGCCCCAGTAGGCAAAGGGGCACCAGCCCCCAGAACCCCTCCCTGTAAATACTGTCTTCAGGATTGGCTGCTTCTGAGGAGTCCGCCCAGCAGGTCTAGCCCTTGGCTGCAAGGACCTCCGGGCCTCTGCAGGGCAGAGCACAGCCCCTGCAGGGACACCTCTGCCCCGTCTGTCCGCAGAGCAGTTTTAGCAAAGTCAAGGGGGGTGGGGTTGCCTTGCGTTCGAGGTTTGCTGCCCGCACCCCTTCAACTCTACATGTGGCCCTGGGGTAAGAACGTACCCAGGCCTCGAAATACTGGACGAGCCAGTCCCTCCACTCGGATCTGGGCTCTGCACGTGTGTGCTCGAGTCCACACTACAGTGCGTGTCACAGCGCACACTCACGTGTGCGTATACACACACGTGTGGTCCTGCTCAGAACACTGCTCTGACGCCCAGCACTTGCCGCGTTCACAGCCCCCCGCACCGAGAACCGAGAGCCACGAGCTCCCTCCCCACCAGGCTGCCCACGAAAGCAGGGGCCAGGCCGCCCGCAGGCTTCTACCTGTACTCCAGGCCACTCCTGGTGCCCTCAGCCCCAAGGACAGCAGGCTGCCTCGGCCAACAGCTCCCAGCCTTCCGTCCCAAGAAAGTAGGCGTCCCAGGAGGGCGTGGGTTTCAAAGCTGAAGGCCATAGCCCACCCCGCAGCTTTCTCTCTCCCTCGGTCAATGGAAAAGGGTCCTTTTGCTGCCTCTAATTTGAAAATGAAAGAATGGAAAAGAGCTGGCGTGTGAGAAAAGGTATCTAGCTATACCAGGGCTCATCTCCCCTCACAAGTCCCGTCCACTCTTCCCAAGCCCACCCTCTGCTGGGCTGACCACCGTCTGCCATCTTGGTTGACCAACATGCGCCATCTTGGTGGCTCCCTTCCCAGGCGGCCTCCTTGAATAGAGGGCCACTGCCCCCTCCAGGCCTAGCCCCTGCCTCAGCACAGTACCCAGGAAACCTGAAGAGCCCAAGCCCCTGTCTTTCCACCACTGGGAGACCCCGTCGTCCTCCCCCAAGCTCTGTCTGCCAAGCCAACCACTGACTCTGCTTCTCGGCGGCCGTGACGGCAGTGCCCGGGGGGCTGCTCCCCAGCCATGGCCTGCACTGGCCACAGACACATACACTGGGGGTGCTTCCTTCCTACCCGCCGCCCTGCCACAATTTTCCCTCAGGAAGAAGCGTCAAAAATTCCTGGCCCAGAGCCGTAGCGCTACCACCTGGAAGGTCCCCAAGGTCCCCTCTCTTAGCTGGGGCTGGGAAGGGCCCTGCTTGTGCCCACATCCAGATCCAGAGGCCCAGAAAGGTGGCCCAGGGTGGCTGGGAAGTGTGGCCAGAAGGGGCAGGAGGTGGGTGGGCAGGTTCATCTTTGATTATCAGGCAAATGGTACCGCTGGCTTGGGGTAGGGGCCTGGCCCTTCCTATCCCCCCCACAGCCTCCTCTCCTGAGCTCCGTGGCGTCCTCTGTCACCACAGAGGGGACAAGCCCCAACTGACCATGCATCTTCTGGACACCACACTGGCCACCGAGGCCATGCTGCCCGCATGGGGAGGCCACAGCGGCCAGCTCCGGGTCACCCGGTCCCTCCCTTCCCACCAGGGGCCTGTGGCCCGGAGTTGATGGGAGGGGGAGAATGCTGGTGCTTGGGGGGTTCTGGACCCCCGGAATCCTGGGGAAGGGAGGTCTTATGTGCCTCTCCTGCTTGGATGGGTGCCCTGGGCTGAGGTCAGTGGTATAGGCACCGCCTCCTGGGGGGCTCTGGAAACCCCTGTGGAGGAAAGAGGTGCAGAGCGGGCACTGCCCAACTCTTTGCTGGGTCAGGACTAGGGCCGAGGGAGAATGGGGTTTCTTAGGAACCAGGGGCGCCCATGTTGAGAGCTGAGCCCAAGAGGCAGATTTTGATAATTGGGGGCAGGGGTGAAGTGGGCGATCGCGGCCCCTGGTCTCCCTTAACCTCGCGCCGCTCTGCAGTGCGCAGGGACCGGGCGGGTGAAGAGAGAGCGCAGCACTTAGATGGTTCGAGCTTTTCTGACCAGCGAACAGCACAGACTCAAAAGACACACCTGGAGCCCAGGTGGCAGCTCCTGGGCCACCCGCTCACCCCCAAGCCAGAGCCTAGAGTGCCTCAGCCTGACAGGGCACCCTCTTCAGGCCACCTCTCTGGGGGTCTGGGGACCCCTAGCCACCGGGGAGACCACTCATTCTTCCCCCAGATTGCTGGAGACCCAGCCGCTGACTCACGGGCACACAGAGGCACCGAGGATGTGCCGGTCTCTGCACACAGTGGGAGGATGGGGGTGTGCGAAATAGAGGGGGCAGGTTTTCAGGGTGTCGGCTCCCGCCCTGTCAGCTGGATACACACCTGGGTAGCCCAGAGAGCGGAGTCCATCCGTCCCTTTCTCAGTCGGATGGGGCCAGTCCCCAGGAGGCGACCTGGGGAAAGAACCTGAGGCTTCTACAGCGAAAGAGATCAGGTGATGGGGCTGTGGGAGCAGACCTGGGCGGAAAGCCGGAGGGCGCCCGTCCCGCTGGGCCAGGTCTTCGGGCTGAGAGCACCGGCAAGGGGGCTCTTCTGTTCCAGCTGTTCCTCCCTCTGTGCCACTGTCCCCCAAATAAAATAAGGGTGTCCAGGGGCCTTGGTCGTGCCAACGGGATTACAGGAAGGGGCCGAATCCAGCTTTCAAGGGAGATTGGGCAGGAGGGGTTAGGGACCCTCAACACCCGCCCCGGAGCTCAGTTCCTGGGCCGTTGGTTTAGTTTTTCTCTCAAGTCAGGGCCGAGGCAGCCAGCCGGCTTCTCTAATAATCGTATTGCCTATATACTTGAATTAAAAATATATGGTGGCTCAAAACGTGCCTGTGTGCACGGCAGACACCGCGGGGCGGAAGCCCTCACGCCCCCACACACACACACGCACACACGCGTGTGCACGCTCACATAGTATATATTAACATATATATTGCTCAAGTATATATGCTATTTACAGTATATATCTATATCAACATAAAACACAGGTATTTATATGTGTGTACAATATACGTCCTAGGGGGTCTAGGGAGCACACGTTTCTGGGGGTCAAGGGGCCGACACACTTGCTCGGCAGGGAGGAGAGGCGGGGGAGTGACACGGTGAGGGGGGGACAGACAGGAAGGGGTCTGGAGGGCGTGCCACGGAAAAGTCAAGGCCTTCCAGGGACAGTAAGGGGACTCTCGGGGCGTGAAGTGCTGCCCTGCCCACGTGGACACCCCCATTTTGGAACCAGCAAACAATTGACGTTTTGGTGTTTTGTGCAAAATGAATTAACTTAAAAAAAAAAACACGTGGGTTCAGAATCAGTACTTGGGCCCCGAACATCTGCAAGGATCCAGACAGACAGCTTCCCCACCTGGTGGGTTTCCATGGCTCAGAGGGTCCCACGCGGCACAGAGAATGGGGGTGGGTGGGGCTTCACCAGCCCAAGAGAACGTCCCTTCTCCTCCGAGCTTCTCAGGGACAGCACGTGTCAGCTGCTGCCCGGGCACCGAGGAGGACCCTGCAGGTCCTGCTTGCTTGGAAAACACTCCCAGCTGGAGAGGAGGCACGGGGGTCACCCCATTCTCCGAGGGGGCTGGCTTGCCACCTGGCTGTCCACCACCCTGCGGCCCTCGAGTCCCCTCTGATGCTCAGAGCCACTCTGCCTTGGCAGCTCCGTGGGGGGATGCCCCGGGGACCCCTGTATCGTAACAGACCTCTGCTCCCAGCTTTCTGCTCCAAAGGGAGGGCCGAGACCCCTGGAAGCAGCTCCCGATTCTCAAGCTCGTCCCTGGAGCCACAGGGTGCCAACCAAGCGACGTCACACTCTGAGCCCCGGCAGACTCAGCGGGCCATCCCCTGAAACTACTGCCAGCTGCAGCCTGGGTGCAAATACATTAAATAAGAAACTAGAACAAGGTACGGTTTTCTCTATTAAGGCTCAGATAAGCTGCCTCCCAGGTCAAGTACTCATGAACACCACGGCCCCTGGACCGAGGGGTGGGTGGGCAGGTGAGTTGGGGGCAGAGGCCTTCCACTTTCCCCCAAAAGTGGGGCGAGGGGGCGGGGCAGGAAAACGGGGGAGCCCTGTGCTGGTCTAGTTAACTGCTGGGGAGGTGGGGGTGACCTAAGACACCCCAGGCCCAGACGCTGGGGCTGCCCCCATTTAGGGGAACCCGCGGCTCTGCCAGCCCCAGGAGGGTCCAGGGAAAGCAGAGGGGACAGGAGCTCGTGCCCCAGGCTGGTGGGTCTCCTGGGAACCCCCTCCCCCCGGGACTGAGCGCTCGTGGTGGGGAGGGTCTGGAAAGGCCCCTTTGGCAGTCTTACTGGGAGTTGGGGCACATGCCCTGTGGCTGGCAGGCCAGGTTCTGGGGGACTGGGGTCCCCCTCCAGCTCAGGGCCCCACCCGAGCTCCCTTGGAGCCTCACCAGCACACGACCAGAGGGCTGCCCACTGGCCTCTACTCTGCAGGAACCAGCCCAGAGCCAATGGAACCAGAGACCAGTGACCACAGGGGCCAGAACCCCTACCCTCACAAGGGCCTTCCAGGGCCCCATGAACTCAGCCCTGCTCAGCCAGCCCCCCAAGATGACCCGAGAACTGGTCCTCCCAGTGTCCTGTAGAAGGTGCCAGCTTCCTTTGGCGTCTGCCCCCGGCCGTGGGCGAGGCAGGAGGAGAAGGTGGGTCAGCTCACGAGCTCCCTGGGCCTCAGACATCATTTTCTGGGGTGCGGGTGGGGGAAGGAGGCGGGGGGGGGTTCTCTGGAGGGTCTGGGGGCTCCAGGAAGGCAGGAGGGCACGGGGAGGGCTTGGCTTGGGCCACAGGCCTGGCGGGGTCAGCCATCAGGGGCGTGTCCTAGGGACCCCTTCCTTGGGGGCCCCGGGGCCGATTTTCCAGTCTGTTGAGAAATACTGCGAGAAGAATCTTCAGGGTGGGGCTGGGCCCAGGCCTGGGGGGCAGACGGGGAGGAGCGGAAGAGGCCCTCCTAATGCTTCTCTGCTTGGCTGACTTTCAGGGCGCTGATGACGCCATTGATGTTTTCTTCTGGTACCTGCGAGGGGTGGGAAGCAGACACCCGTGAGCCCCTGGAGCCGGGCCTGCCCTGCCCGGGGGCCGGTGCCGGACACTCACCAGTGCGTGGTCGAACTTGAAGGTACTGATGTAGTAAGCGGGGATGTCAGCAGCAGCTAAGGGCTCGGAGATCTGGGCCACGATGCCGCACTCATCTGGGGACAGAGGCGGGGACCACGTTTAGCGTCCTCCCCACCCGGCCACCCAGCACAGCCTTGGCCTCTCCCCTCCCTCTGCTGGCAGTGCCCGCCCTGTACCCGCAAGCTTCCCAGAGACTCCCCGCCCCTCCATCCAGCAGGCTTCTCTGATCTCTTTGGCCAGCAGTGAGCTCTCCATCCTCAGGGCTCCACAGAAGGCACTTCTGTCTAACTGTGACCACCCTCTGCCTGTTTCCGTGCCTCGTAGTTTGGACTCATCTTCCTGGCCATCTTGCGAGTTCCCTAAACAGAGCTGGAGGTAGCGTGGCAATAAGAGGACGTGGGTTCAGGCCCTCTTTTTTGTCGCCCTTTTCTAGTCAGATGACGTAGCCAAGTCACTTCCTCTCTCTGAGCCTCCGTTTCCTCATCGGAGTCCCCACTGGGTAAAGGTCCCTGCCTGTCCTAAAGGTAGTGTCAGGCATCTGATCATGAGGAATGTCATTTCCTTCTCCTTCTGGATCTCCAAAGCAGTGGCCTTCTGGCCTCCTCCAAACCTCAGCCAATAAGGTGGTCTTTGGGTTGCCTGGGGATGGTTCTCCCCTCTCCTCCACCCTCCTCCCCTCTTTGAAGGCACCATGCAAAGCTTCCTCCTACAGGAAGACCTCCAGGATCTGAGGACCACTCTTCTCTCCATCAGCACAACCCCTCAAAGCTACTGTTCTGATTCTGGCGATGATGCCTTTCCCCAGCGCTGTCCCGATTGGGTGGGAGAGTACAGATATGGCCACCAGCTCCCCATGGGATTCTGGGGCCAGAGCCTGGGCATCAGCAACCTGGGCTTCACCCTTCCCCCACCCCCAGCCTCCCCGGCACCCTTCCACTCCCCGGCCCTGGTCCTGCTTGTCAGCCCACCCTGGGACCTAGACATGACCCTGCAGGTCTCTCAAGCTCCTGTCTCCTGCTTGGTCTCCTGGGGCTCCTGGCTGGACCCATGGGCCCCTTTGGTGGCTGCACGGGCCTCGTGCTTGCACTTCTGGTGACTGTCTGTCCTGTTATGTGGTGGAGACCGGTTGTGTCCTAAGATTCTTTCGCTACAGACACATTCATTTGCAGTTCTGTAAAGGGGATGCGGGGTGCGGGTAGGAGATTAGGGTCTAGAATGGTGCCTTTCAAACCGTGGGTGGTGACCCACTGGGGACATCAATTTAGAAGGCTGGTAACCAGTGTTTTATGAAATGACAACAGAAAAGGGAAGGGCAAACAGCTCAGCACCAGAGCGAGTGCAGTTTTGTGAAACCGTAGAGTTGTTTGTGTATGTGTGTGCTGGGCTGTGATGGAAAACATATTTCCTGCAAACCGTGGTCTAAAACATATGGAATTCGCCAGTCTAGAATCTTTCAGATTCTCAAGTTATTTTTCTTGCAGGGCTATTTATAGCTATTAGCCTGGCGCTAAAACCCTCCACATCCCGGGAAGGTAGATCCAGCTGCTGCCTGCTAGATCACACACTGTGTCCCCTGTCGCCCGCCCGTGAGGCCACTCAAAACAGCCCAGGGCAACTGCAGATGGTAGGACGATTCAAGTCTCATCTACTATCCCACCTCGATTCTCCCTTCAACCTGACTTTCTTTTTTCTGTAATATTATTATACTGAGTGTATTTTGGTAAACTTTGAAGCAAAGCTGGGGATAAAAAGATACGCTGAAATGCATCACTAATTATCAGAGAAAGGCAAATAAAACTGCAATGAGGCACCACCTCACACGGGTCAGAATGGCCGTCACTAAAAAATCTACAAATAACAAATGTTGGAGAGGGTGTGGAGAGAAGGGAACCCTCCCACACGGTTGGTGCAGCCACTGTGAAAAGCAGTATGGAGGTCCCTCAAAAAACTAAAAATAGAATTACCATAGGATCCAGCAATCCCACTCCTGGGCATATACGCAGACAAAACTCTAATTCG